TGCCTGGGTTGGGTTGGTTCAGGCTGGGTTTGGGTTCTGCCTTGGGTTGGTTCGGTTCTGAATGGGTTGGGTTGGTTCAGGCTGGGTTTTGGTTTTGCCTTGGGTCAGTTCGGTTCTGCCTGGGTTGGGTTGGTTCCGTCTAAGTTGGTTCTGGCGTGGGTACGGTTCAGTTCTGAATGGGTTGGGTTGGTTCTGCCTGGGTTGGAGTGGGTTGGTTCCGACTGGGTTGGTTGGTTCAGGCTGGGTTGGAGTGGGTCGGTTCCGACTGGGTTGGAGCAGGTTGGGTCAGTTCAGGCTGGGTTGGCTCTGCCTTGGGTTGGTCCGGTTCTGCCTGGGTTGGTTCAGTCTAAGTTGGTTCTGCCTTGGGTCGGTTCGGTTCTGCCTGGGTTGGAGTGGGTCGGTTCTGACTGGGTTGGTTCGATTTGGCCTTGGTTGGTTCCGCCTGGGTTGGTTCTGTTCGGTCTGGGTTGGCCTGGTTCAATTCAGTTCAGTGTGGGTCGGTTCGGTTCGGTTCAGTTCAGGCTGGGTTGGAGCGGGTCGGTTCTGCTGCACTGGGTTGGCTCTGCCTGGGTCAGTTCTGTTCAGCCTGGACTGGAGCGGTTCGGTCCAATTTGGAGCGGTGCAGCCCGGTGGGGTCTGTCCTGGTTCGGTTCGGCCCGGTTCGATTTGTCCTGGTTCAGTGCGACCCGGTTCAGTTCGGTTCGGTTCTGTTTGGCTGCGCCGGGTTCAGCCTGCTTTGATTCAGCACGGTTCAGTTCGGCCCGGTTCGGTTCGGCCCGGTGGGCTCGGCCCACCTCGGCCTGGTTCAGCCCAATGGAGTTTGGTCCAGTCCAGCGCAGCCCAGCTCAGTCCGGCCCGGTTCGAGTCGGTTCGGCCTGCGCGGTTCGGCCCGGCCCGGTTCCGTCCTCCACGCCCGTCCCGCTCCGACCCCAAAGTCGTCCGTGGGCGGGGCCTCAGCGGGGGGCGGTGGCCGTGGGGGCGGGGCCGAGCGCGGGGCACGCTGGGATCACGATGGCGGCGCTGGGATCGGCGCGGGGCGAGCCGGGAATCGTAGTGAGGCGCCGAGATCCGCGCGGGGCACGACGGGATTGCGATGGCGGCGCCGGGATCCGCGCGGGGCACGCCGGAAGTCGTAGTCAGCGCGGGGGACACCAGCAGTCGTCGTCCCCACAGGGAACGCCGGAAGTCGTAGTCTCCACAGGTCGGAAGTCGTACGCCGCGCGGGGCACGCCGGGAGCGCGATGGCGGCGCTGGAGCTGCTGTCGGACGAGGGGTACCGCGCCGACGGGCGCCGCGCTACGGAGCTGCGGAAGGTGCGGGCCCGGATGGGGGTGTTCGCGCAGGCGGACGGCTCGGCCTACATCGAACAGGGCAACACCAAGGCGCTGGCCGTGGTGTACGGACCGCACGAGGTGAGCCGGGGGGCGGGGAGGGACGGAGCTTCCGGGCCCGGTTCTGAGGGCGGTTCTGGGCCCGACGATGCTGGGCCCGGTTCTGAGGCCCGGACGTCGCGCCGGCGCTTCTCCGCTCCGCTCCCCTCTTCTTTCCCGGATCCTCTGGTTCCGGTGCTGGGTCTGGGGCCGGGGCGCGGTTCGGTGTCCGGTTCTGGTTTAAGGTCCGGTTCTGGGCCCGGTCCTGAGGCCCGGTTCTGTGCTCAGTGCTGTGGCCCGGTCCTGAGCCTAGGCCCCGTTCAGTGCCTGGTCCTGAGGCCTGATGCTGTGGCCCTGTTCTGGGCCGGGTCCTGGTTACAGGCCCCATTCTGGCCCTGGTTCTGGCTCCCAGACGTTGCCCCAATCCCCTCCCCCCAGATGCTGTGGTTCCGGTGTGGGGCACAGCTCAGTGTCTGCTCCCGAGCTCTTCTTCTGCTTCTGGTCATGGCTTAAATTCCAGTTCCTCTCCACCCCCCAAACTCAGATTCTCTGGTTCCGGTTCTGGGCCTGGTTCTAAGGCCCGGGCATTGCCTCAAGTCCCCCCTCTGCTTGGATCCTCTGGTTCCGGTACAGAGCCCGGTTCTGGGGCTGGGGCGTTCATGGCTCAGTGCCTGGTCCTGAGACCTGGTTCTGGACCCAGTTCTGAGCCTGGTCCTGTTTTAAGGCCCAATTCAGGCCCTGGTCCTGAGGCCCGGTTCTGAGCCCGGTTCTGAGCCCAGTTCTGGGTCTTGGCCTGGTTCTGAGACCCTGCTTTTACCCCACCCTGCCCTCCCTGCAGATCCTCTGGTTCCGGTGCTGGGCCCGGTTCTGGCTCTGGGATATGGCTCAGTGCCTGGTCCCGGTCCCAAAGTGTGGTTCTGGGCCTGGTTCTGAGGCCTGGGCCTGGTTCTGGTCTGAAGGCGTGGTTCTTGGTGCTGATCTCTGACCCAAGATGGAGTCCTGGGCCAGGTTCTGGGGCCAGGTTCTGCGGCCCGGTTCTGGTCCTGAGGTCTGGTTCTGAGCCTTAGGCCCGGTTCTGGTCCCGGTGCCAAGATCTGGTCCTGAGGCCTGATCCTGGTGCCTGGTTCTGATCCCGGTCTGTGTCCTGAGGCCTGGTTCTGATCGTGGTCCTGGTCTCAAGGTCTGATTTTGGGCCTGGTTCTGGTCCCAGTCTAAAGCTCTGGTTCTGATTCTGGTCCCGGTCTGGTTCTGGTCCTGAGGCCTGGTCTCAAGGCCTAATCCTGAGGCCTGGTTCTGGTTGTTCTGGTCCTGACGCCTGGTCCTGGTTCTGGTCCCGGTCCTGATGCCTGGTTCTGGGCCTGGTCCTGATGCCTGGTTCTGGGCTTGGGCCTGGTCTACAGCTCTGATCCTGAGCTCTGCTTCTGGTCCCGGTCCCAAGGCCCGGTTCTGGTTCTGAGGCCCTGTTCTCATCCTGGTTCTGGCCCTGATCCCGAGGCCTGGTTCTGAGGCCTAGTTCTGGTCTTGAGACCTGCCCCTGGTCCTGGTCCCAAGGTGCGGTTCTGGTCCCGGTCCTGAGGCCTGGTCCTGGACCTGAGCCCTGCTCCTGAGGCCTGGTTCCAGGCCGGGTCCTAAGGTCTGGTTCTGGTCTTGGTCCTGGACCCGAGCCCTGATGCTGAGGCCCGGTTCTGAGCCGTGGTTCTGGTCCTGAGGCCTGGTTCTCATCCTGAGGCCTGGTCCCAAGGCGTTCTGGTTCTGGTTCTGGTCCCGGTCCCGAGCCCCGGTTGCGGTTCCGGTTCCCTCACTTCCGCTGCCCTCCCGCAGACCCGCGGTCCTCGCAGCAAGGCGCTGTCCGAGCGGGCGGTGCTGAACTGCCAGTACAGCATGGCCACCTTCAGCACCGCAGAGCGGAAGCGGCGGCCGCACGGGGACCGGAAGTCGGCCGAGATGGCGCTGCACCTCAAACAGACCTTCGAGGCCGCCGTGCTCACCGAGCTCTACCCGCGGTCACAGATTGACC